TGCCCCGGCACTGCCCCGGAGGGCAAGCAGGAGCCCTGGGGAGCCGTGCCAAGTGCCTGCCCCTGTCGTCACAGCATCCTTGCAATGACACTTTCCTGTAGCACACAATTTCATGTGGGTGTTTATATGCCTGGGTGGTGTCTCTCGGCTGAAAGTGTCTGGGAGGGTGTTCTAGCCGGCATCTCGGCCGCTCAGGGTGACAGCAGGATGGCAAGGAGAGAATTTTAAAACACTCAGCTCTGGGGCTAACCAGTTTGAAGGCTCAAAAACTGATGTTTTTTTCCCTTATTTTATTTTTTAATTTATTTAAATATAGATTCTGTGTCAATAGTGTCTACAAAATGCGCAAGGAGTTTCTAGCAAGCATCTTCTCCCTTTTCTGGGGGGATTTATCAGAAAATTATGAGCCTCATGCACAAGGCTCATAAGGCAAGGTGTTGGGTTGAGGAGCCAGTATTTTTTCTTAAAGATAAATTATTGTTTGCAGAATGGGGGGGCCTTGAATCTCTTTCTGGCAGGCTGCAAATGCAGTGAGCCACAGTTTCTCCTTTTTTTCCTGACCTGTGCTGTCCTCTAACCCTGCTGCCCATCTCCCAGGGGTGCTGGTAGGTGCTTCCACATATCTTTTTGGAGCAAGGCTGGATCATCCAGGCTCTTTAGTGCCTTTACACCTGACAGTGCTCTCCACACCTCCAGTTTGCTTGAGGGCATCATCTTGTGCAGCGCTGCTGCTTCTAACACAGCTTTTCATCACCTGCTGCTCCAGAGTGCCACAGGAGTGCTTAAAGACACTGGGATTGCTCTGGAAAGGTGACGGACCCAGAAGGGAACCTAAAAAAGTGTGGATTTGGGGATACCCAGAAAATGGGGTTAGCTATGCCACAACAGGGACAGAGGGGCATGGGACTGATGAGGCTGACTTGGTTTTCAGGGTGCCTGGGAGGGTGCAGGTCAGGGCTCTCTGAATCGCTGCTGAGTCTGCAATTCCTTGGAGAAGCTCCTATTTTAAAATCTGAGAAGGAAAAATGCCACTCTGCATCCCCAGGGAGCTCTAGAGCAAGTTAATGTAGATGCGGTGTCTCCTTTCTTTCTTCTTTTCTTCTTTCTTTTACTCTTCTGACTTAAGATTCCCTGAGAGAGTAATTAAAAATTGCAAGTTCCAGGTGCTGAGAGGATTTAGTTTGAGAGTGAAACGCTTGGATACCCCCGTGCTTGAATATCCCCACACTTGCACCCTTTCCACAGAGGCTGTGAGAGTGGCTTGCCTCAGGCAGGAGCAGGGATGCATGAGCTGGGAGATCCTGCTTATCTCTGGCTCTTTCTAGGACTCCTGGCACCTGAAGTACAATGATGCAGGATACAGGAGAGTGTTAAGCAGTAAAAAGTCCCCATAGTTCTGCTGTGTGCTACATGTGCTTCCATAATCCATCCTGCTGAACAGGCTCCCCAAGGAATGGGCACAGCCCCACAGCTGCCAGAGCTCCAGGAGCATTTGGACACTGCTCTCAGGGATGCACAGGGTGGGATTGTTGGGGTGTCTGTGCAGGGCCAGGAGCTGGACTAGATGATCCTTGGGGATCCCTTCTAACTCAGCATATTTTGTGGTTCTGTGATTCTGTGGTTTTGGCAATTGTTGATTCTGAGGTTCTGTGGTTCTGTGGTTCTGTGATTCCCAGATTCTGTGATTCTGGGAGCTGCAGAGGGAGGTGGCAGTGGGGACACAGCTTTGTGGTGCCTTCACTGGGTGTTTGCCTTGTGTGAGACGTGACACATCCCTCCTCCGAGCCTTTGAGGGTGGGTAGGAGAGGTTCAGCTCTGGCTGAGAGTTCCTATTTGTATCCAGCCCTGTGGCCACATCCTTACAATCACCCCTTGGACATGACGGCAACTCGCAGCTCTTTTCCCCCAAACTTCCACTGATGATGTCTTGCTGCAAGAAGCCTGAGTTTCACCAGCCTCTCAATGATGTTCTCTCCCACCCCCAGACATGTCAGCCCTGGAAAAGGGGTCCTGCTGGCAAACTGACACCTGGGATGTGCTGCATTCCTGGTGTGCAGGCAGGATGATGGATCCGTGGGCAGCTTTGAGTTGTGAGGGGGGTTAAGTGCTGAGCATCCTCCCTGCTGAGCAGCACGGAGGAGTTCTGTGCCTCAGCGTTTACAAACACACCCCTGGTGCCTAAATGTGAGGAAATGGATAGTTAAGCACATCATTAATCTTATCCAGCCCCCATAATCAACAATCAATTAATTCTCCTCTGGGCTGAAGAGATGTGGGTTGTGCTATAGCCTGGGCACTGCAGAAAAAGCCCTTTCCCAAGGGAAAGCTGAGGCAGAGCCTCATCCTCCACTTGTCCAGCACACTATCATGGATGCAAGTCTTGCCAGCTCTGGGAAACTCTTGGAGCAGCCCTTAAATTAGGGCAAATGTTGTACTGGCATTAGTGAGGTGATTTATTGCTCCCTCCTGGGCTTGAGTCCTCCATCTGAGCCTTGCACTTGGACTACAGGTTTGCCATGTGAAGGATTATGGATCCCACCATGGCATTGCAGGGCCCTGGGGGTTTGTGCTGTGTTTGCAGTATGAGGTTCATGGTTCATCTCCCCCAGAAAGAGGGGAAACACGGGCAGCAGCCAGAGGGGACTGCTACACCTACAACATATTTGGGAGGGAGGAAAAGGCATCCTCCTCCCTGAAACTGTGGGAGGCTTTAGGCAAGCACAGTGTAATTACAGGAGAGTGAAGCTAATTGGTAATAATAGCAATTAAGAGCCATGTGTCTGCAGATTACAGGAATTTGTGGATAAGCCTGTGATAACGTGGTGATAACGGAAACCTGTGGACACTGGGGTGCAGGGTGCCATGTTCAGGTGTTTTGACAAAGCATCACTTGGATTAATTGTAATTAAATATTAACAAACCTCTTCAACAACCCAACAACATGCCTTCAAACTTAAAACTGAGGCTTGTTTATAGCACCGCAATCCTCTCATCATCTTCATTCCCTCCTCCATCCTCTCCCATTAAAACACAACTGGATGTTCCCTGGTACCACTGCCCTCCCCTTCCTGCATCTCCAAAGAATCCGGTGTGTTTCAGGTGTGTTCTGACACATCCCCAGCTCCAGAGCCCACTTTGCATGTCTCACAGATGCTCACCCTTCCTGTGGGAGCACAAGGCTGCTGGGACATGGTGGGGAGGGAGAGGTGAGGAGCTGGAGATACACTCGAAGCCTTGGTGTCCATTTGTGGCTTTGTCTCCTGCCTTGTGTGTCTGTGTAACTCTATGCCTCCATGTGCTGTTATGGGAATAGGGCTGTGTGTGTATTGAGGAAGGTTCTGCATCCCTCTGCCTTCTGCTGTGGAGCATCCTGAAAATGTCCCCCTCAGACCCTCTGGACTGCACGGTGACCCTGTGTGTCTCACTGCCCATTGGCCCTGAGTGCTTCCTTAAAATGCCACAGGCATTTGGCTGTGGTGGGATGTGGAGGACTTGGCAGCCCTCCCGTGATGGGGAAGAGGAAGGGCAGTGGGTGATGGTGTCTGGTTCCTCTGGAATGCCATGTCCTCATCCAGCTCTGAGGGCCACTGGAAAAAGACAGTTCATTGCAGCCAGCTGTGTGCCTCAGGCTGGGGTGGGGGGGAATCTAATGAATAATAAAATTGTAAAATATTGTTTTGATTTATTCTTTTCTATCATCTATTAATATCTGGAAAGGCTGTGTGAGCAGGAGGCCTTCATGAGTTTTGAATGACAGGTTAAAGGGCTCCAATAAAGATTAGATGGTCCACTATCTCCCAAGGAAATTGCATCAAAGTGGTTACTCCTGCTTGCTCCTATTAATTTCCTCTTCATGGCTGCCAGGAGATGCCTCATATCCTGATGCAGCAGACAGGGGCTAAGAGGCACTTTCCATTATCTCAATCATCACCGTGTTTATGAGACACGTCGGGTGTTTCTCTGCAGACCTGTGCCTTGGGGGGATGGCACCACAGGGCCAGAGTCGGGAGCCAAACGGGGCTGGGACCATCCTGGTGTGAGGCCAGGAACAGTCTCTTCTGGGCTGGATGGAAGTCTGATCCCTTGGGTACATGTGCTAAAATACAGATATTCCCTTCTGCAGCTTTTGGTTCTGTCAGATTTTGTTAGATGTCAGGGATGGATGAGCATCATTGCTGAGGATGGGTGGGGTGGGGCGGAGATGAGGGACCCCATCCCTGTCTCTCCCTCTCACCCTCCCTCCACAGAGCAGCGAGATGGTTGATTAATGGAACCTCCCCTGTGGCTGATTAAACCCTCACTGTAACTGGAACATCTCCGTTATGAATTAGTTGCCATTTCCTGCTTGAATGAACTCAGAGGCTGGGAAGCTCCAGCCCCAGGCTGTGGGGGATTAACAGGATGGACCCATAACACACTGTCATGGGAGTCACACTGACTTTTTAATTAAATATTTAAATTTTGCATGGAAAAGAGCTATAGGACCTGAGCCAGGCTGTTGGGGTTGGTGGAAAGGGACCCATCAGCAGAAGAGGAGCACTGTCCTGCCCCTTCTTGTCCATGTCCCCAAGGGTGCTGCTGGGGACAGGGGTCCCACAGCCCCCTGCCATGCCCTTGCCTGGGTACGAGCAGTGGGGAGTAAAGCAGCTACTGCAGCCCCCTTGCTCTACCTGGCTAAAGATTGTTGCCATGTGGTTGCAGTGTTTGTCTAGTGGCTTTAGGAATAATCCATAGCCAACATGGAAAATTCTGGCCATCCTACATTCATGGGAAGATGCTACCCCATTTAGCACTGATACATGTGTGAAGCTTTTCTGTGTCTGCTCTTCCTCTCCCTCTTTCTTTCACTCTCCTCTCCCTCTTTCTTCTCCTCTTTCCTTTCCTCTTCCTTCTCTCCCTCTCCCTCTCCTCTCCCTTTCCACCCCATTTCAAAGACAGGACCTGTTTGCTCCTGCATCCTGGAACAGCTCAGGACCCACGTGCTGTGCTCTCTCTTGCAGCCTGCCCTGCAGGGACATTCAAGGCCAGCCAGGGTGCGGGGCTGTGCGTGCCGTGCCCCCCGAACAGCCGCTCCACAGCCGAGGCCTCGCCGGTCTGCGCCTGCCGCAATGGCTACTATCGGGCAGACTTCGACCCGCCGGCCGCCGCCTGCACCAGTGAGTACGGGATCGGGGCTGGGGGGCTCTGCAGGGTCTGGCTCCCCTCTCTTCTGGGGCAGCAGCAGGGGTAAAGTCTCAATCCATGTGGAGTTTATTTTATTTTCTCCCCCTGTAACACTGTGGATGGGAGCAAGAGTGCGGCTGGGTGGGGTGGTGAGGGATGGGATGGCCCCACATCCCACCTGACTGGCAGCCTCTGGAGTTTATACATCACCCAGGCAGCGGTGGTGATGGCAGGGAGATAGTCCCCAGGATAAAGTAGGATTTAAAGTTACCTGCTCTGGCTGTCTTGTTCATAGTCTTGCAGATGGAATATTTTTTAACAGGGGGAAGGCTGCATTAAGCATTGGTATTCAGCAATGCGTCGCTGCTCGGCTGCCTGCCCGAGCTGCCTGGCATGGCAGCAGTGTCCTCAAGCCTGTCTTTTGGTGGGAAAAGAGCCCAGGAGAGAGGAAAGAGCTGCTGTGCTCTTCATCCTGCTGGAAACCTAGGCCTCAACTCACCCCCAGATACGCTGCAGGCCCTTGAACCAGCCTATCATGGAGCTTTAGCACATGGATGCTCTGGGACTCTCCATGCTGGGAAGTGCCCAAAGCACACAGCAAGGAAACAAGGAAAGGATTTGTGTGTTTTGCTGGATCACCTGAGCTCTCATACAGGTATTCAGCAGGTTGCACAACTACAGATAATCTACAGATCTTTATTATGCCTCGTTACATAACTGATTTACAGCAGTGCTGCGCTATAGGAATACAGGGAAAAAAGTCTCTTTGCTGATTTTTATTTCTTCTCGCCAGTGCTTGATTTTGCAGTGCTCCAATCAGAGATGCAAGCTGTTCATCCACAAAGTTCTCTGTGTCAGAGGAGTACATAACATTGTGGAGCTGCAGGCAGTGCCCTGGACTGGAACCCTTCCAAGGGTGATCCCTGCAGTTCCTGGGCTCCTGCAGAGGAGGGAAGGGGCTGCAATTAAAGTGGGAAGAATTTGGGGAGGTAGCAATTTGCTGCTGGGAAATGAAAGAAATATGTGTTTTTCCCTTTTTCTTGAAAAGATATTAACTGCTTAAGGTATGGAGGGAAGATTTGGACTAAGGCTTAGAGACAGGCTGCAGATTTTTGGGGTAACTCACTAATATTGATCCTGCAGTCTTGTTCCCCTGGGGAATCAAGGTCCTTCTCCCTGCTCCTGCTCCTGCTGTGGCCCCTACAGTTCACCTGTAACTCTCTTGGATACCTCCACCATGGGGGAGCCTGGCAGTTCTGCGGTGCCTCAGATACAGGAAAGCCCTTTCCAGCAAGGATGTTGCACTGGTGGCTGCTCCATAACAGACACTTTTACTCCTAAAGAGGAAAAGAGTTAAAGGGAATGGAATTCCATTATCTTAATTTTTTTTTTTTTTTTAAGGCTATAATTTCTCCAGACATTTGAACAAAATCTTTCATCCGCATTATCCACGGCAGCAGCTTAGAGAGGCTCCTAGGGTGTCTCCATGCAGAATGACCTCTCCATCCCACCAGCCACATCACCATGGTGCTGATGAATCTGTCCCTGTCCAGCCTGTCCCTGGCCACTAACGAGGCTGATTTATCTGCAGCCCTAACGATGTTCCCTGGCACACACACATGTGAGGAGGCCTCCCGTGGGATGGGTTTCCCCAAGACAGAGTGTGCTTCTCTCTCTTAACCTTTCCTTGCAGGTCAAGTCCTCCATCATTTTTATTGCCCTCTGTATCATGGCAAAATCCTTTTTCTTTCTTGGAAGTGCAACCCCCAGCCCAGACAGCATGAGGAATTCCTTTCTTCCCTTAGTTAGTATAACCAAGCAGCTGAATGTTGTGGTCTCGGCTCTGGAGCCATCCTGGCTGACCCCACATCCTTCCCTGAATCTGTGCAGACATATATTTGTACCTCAGTGATGCTCTCCTGGGTTCCTCCTGAACTGACTGCAGCCCAAATCCAGCAGTGCTTGCATTCAGTTCCCACCCTCTGAAGCATTTGTGATGGCTCCTGATGGCTTTGATCAATGCAGTTTTCATCTCTTGTCCAACATGGGAGCTGCTTGCAAACCATGGAGTGGTGCTGGCTTTCCTCCATGCTGGGAAATTCCCGGGTTTCCAACTTGGGATATTGAACTCTTAATAACCACTTTCCATTTTTGACTCTCTTCTCTCCTGCTTTTTCTCTGGTTCTCTATGGTGCTGGCTAAGTGATTTTTCTCTTGCTGGGTTAATCTGCTTGAGGTGCTTCTCCACGTGAGCACTGCCGTTATCTCAGCATCTCCTGATGGGATTAAAATGGGTCCAGCTTCATAGATGGATCTGTGTGCGTTCCACAGGGAGGTTTTTTGGAGACTTAAGTGGGTTTGTGGCGTGGGAGTTGTCATCTCCATCTGGGAAACTTGTTTGCAGTGCAGGTGGTTGGTGTTGCCAGTGTGGAAAGTCTGACCCTGAGCTCAGCAAAGCTGTGGACGCCAAATCCCTCCTGAAGGAGGAGGTGATGGATAGTGCAGAGCCCTGGGGTGTCCTCTGCTGGAGCCTCCACAGGAGGGCAAGGACCTGTCTGAATGCCTCTTCTTTCCCTCAGGTGTCCCATCCGGCCCCCGCAACGTCATCTCCATTGTCAACGAGACGTCCATCATCCTGGAGTGGCACCCGCCGCGGGAGACGGGCGGCCGGGACGACGTCACCTACAACATCGTGTGCAAGAAGTGCCGCTCGGACCGGCGCGCCTGCTCCCGCTGCGACGACAACGTGGACTTCGTCCCCCGCCAGCTGGGGCTCACTGACACCCGTGTCTTCATCAGCAACCTGTGGGCTCACACCCCCTACACGTTCGAGATCCAGGCGGTCAATGGAGTGTCCAACAAGAGCCCCTTCCCACAGCAGCACGTCTCCGTCAACATCACCACCAACCAGGCTGGTGAGAGCCGGGTGATGCCAGGGGGTTTGGCTGTCCCGCTGCCGGCTCCCTGTGGAGTCGAGCTGTGTGTCCAAAAGGAAAAGCTCCCGGGGTGTGAGGGTGTGTGATGGCTGTGGTGCCCCCAGGCCTGAGTGGGGAGAAAGGCCTGGAGAAGAGGGGGTGAGGGGAATGGGGATAGGGAAAGTTTGCCTGTGCCCTGGACAGTGGTGAGTGGCTTGTGGAAGGGTCACTTGATACCTGCTTTTATCCCACTCTGTATTGCTTGGGGAGGACAAGGCATCACCACCTTTCCCCTTTTCCCAGTTGGGAGAAGGGAGATGGGGTGAATCCAGCCTTGAAACACAGCCTGACTGTTACAGCACAGAGGGAGCAGCATCCTGGGGCTGAACCCAGGCTCTGTCCCTTCTGGCACGTCCCTCTCCCATCATTTTCCTCTTGTCTCCTTTTCCAGGCTCCCCTGCTCCCTTTCCTGTCCCCAGTCAGGCATCAGGAGCTGAATGAGCAGCTCTGGGTCAAACAGGGATGCTGGTGGGGTGGGTGTGCAGATGGCAAGGGGGCAACTGGTCCTGGGCTGTGCTGAGGATCTGAGGGGATGGAAACCCATGTGCTCGGGGTTTAAAAGGGGAATGGGAATTCCTGCTTTGTGCCAGGGCAGACAGCCTTCGCCATCCTGCTCCCTCTGGGTAGCACAGTGGAGAAACCTGGTGTAAATATTTCAGTGTAAATATTTCAGTGTAAACCAGTGTAAATATTTCAGGCTTCTGGCTCCAGGGAATACAAATCTACACTTGTGCCCGGCTGGCATCACTGTCTGCTGAACCACTTGCAGCCAAACCTGCCTCTTGTTTCCAGGCCTTTTCTTTTTCTGGGGTGGATTTTTGGGGTGTTTCTTAGCTCTTCTCCCACCACGGGGAGCTGGGAACAGCCAGGTCACCCTCTTCTGTCTGTCTGTACCCCAGTGGTCCCTGTTTGTCTTGCAGAGGCTGATTACAAACAAGAAAATGCTGGGCTGTGGGGTAACCCGATGGAAATTCACCAGGGATATCCATGGCATTGATGCTCTCCCTCTAAAATCTCTTTGGCTTTGCAGTGGGTTTTTCCAAATGTTTTCCCAGCCCCATCCAAGCTAGTGGGAGTTAATAAAATAGCAATCAGAGTGCTTAATTTCAGCCCTTGAGCATCTTCCTGGAGCAGATGTGGAGAGATTAAAAAAAAAAAAATAGGATTATATATTCTGGGTAAACAAAGGTAGTGCTGAACTACCCACATCTTTCATTGGAACCATGAGAAACAGGGCTCCTGCCACCCCCAGATTCCCTTCATGGCATGATCCCATGCCCAGGTTGGTTGTGCTGGGTTCAGGCAGATTCCCTAGATTCACATAGGGCAGCATTTTCCCTGCCCAGCACTGCCCATACTCCAGGCATGGTGAGGAGGAGGGGGAGGGCAGAGATGGCTGGATTGGGAGCTGACTGTGGACAGGACATGCCAGTGCCCCTTTGGGTGTGAACAGATACCTTGGATACCTTTCTTTTGATAGGATTAAGTGCAGGATTAGGGCTGTATTGGCTGGCTCTGCCCCTTATAGTATAGCTTGGAGGGCACAAAGCATTTGGAAAAGGGTCTCCTGACTTAGTGCCTCAGTGTCCCTAATGGTGGAAGGACAGTGTTGCTGTTTTCCTGGGAGAAGCACTTTGGGGTGCTGGGGATGAGCATCCCCTGAGAGCCCCTAAGAGCAGCCCCAGCAGCTTCTCTGGAGTCAAGGCTGGGCTGGGATGTCCCTGCCCTGGTTCCCTGTCACTGTCCTCAGGGTGGGCAGATTTTTGCTCCCACATCCCATTTCTGAGAGCACTGCAGGGAGCAGTTGTGGCACAGCTCCCTGCGTGCTGAGTGCTGGCTCCCCAGAGAGGCTGTTACAGCAAAAGATGTCACACAGAGCTGGACCCTGTCACCAAACCTTGGTTTGCCCTGCTGGGGAGAGCTCTGCTGCATCTCTCCCACCATGGGAGACATCATTGGAGTAAGCAGTCCCAGGGAGAAAGAACACCAAGGATTTCCAAGCCCCTAATTAAACGGAGAAGTTGGTTTAAATAGCAGAATTCCCTGTGTGGCTTGCTGCTCTGCTTCCATGTAAAGCTGCTGAGATGTCGGTCTTCCCACTTCTAATGAGTGAGCTGGTCCCATGGGGAAGCCAACCACAGGCATGGGAGATTTGGGATGCCGTGGGGATTCCCCTTCTCCTCAGAGCCATTCTTCCTACCCCTCTCCATTAATTTTCCCTCGCTCCCTGCTTCCTCGCAGCCCCCTCCACCGTGCCCATCATGCACCAGGTGAGTGCCACCATGAGGAGCATCACGCTGTCCTGGCCCCAGCCCGAGCAGCCCAACGGGATCATCCTGGACTACGAGATCCGCTACTACGAGAAGCTGAGCCGCATCTGCACGCCTGATGTCGGCAGCACCGTGGGCTCCAGGCCGGCCCCGGTGAGCCCTGCCCTGGGGGCTGGGCTGGGGGCATGGGGGGCAGGGGCAACATGGATGGGCTCTGGGACAGGCTGTGCTGGGAATGGTCAGGTAGGACAGGTACCAGGTCACCTGAGCTGCCTCCAGAAGGTGGGAGTGAGTTGTGACTGCAGATGCTAAATCACAGAGTCCAAATCACAGAGCAGTTTGAGTTGGAAAGGACCTTAAAGCTCTTCGAGTTCCAACCCCCTCCCACGGGACACCTCTCATATGATCAGGTTGCTCAGAGCTCTGTCCAACCTGAGCCAGTCCTTGCCCGTGGCAGCATTTGTCCAGCACATCAGTGCCCATGGCTGCCTTGGCTCTGGTATTTGCTAGGATGAGCAGGGACCTGAATAATGGGGATGGCATCAGGAGGAGGGGGAGGGGGTTAGAGAGGACCAGGGAAGGTTATGGAGGTTGTCCCTGCCCCAGGTCACTGCTTGCCACTGGTCCTGTCCCTGGCAGCTGTCCTGTCCTGCAGGGGACACGCTCCCGACCGCTGCGATGAACCGTGCCCAGCCCAAGCTGTTCCATCCCTCCTGTGTCTTGCCAGCTCTAATGAATTCCTCTAAGTAGGAATAATTAGATGATCTCACCAGTGGCCTCTTACCAGCAAAGCACTGGGGAATGTGGTAAAAAATGAGAGTGGAGACACATGAGTTTCCCACCAAGGTTTAGGCCAAGGACCTGTGCCAGCAGAGCAGGACTGCAGGGGCTGGGGATCTCAGCAGAGTGTTGCCCTTGATCCTGCTTGAGCAGGGTCTCATAGGGCACATTATGGTGTTTAGTGGAATCACAAAATGGTTTGGGTTGGAAGAGACCTTAAAGATCATCCAGTTCTAACCCCCGTGCTGTGGGCAGGGACACTGGGTTTCCATAACTGTGGGGTGTTTCTGAAATGCACAAGGACGTCAATCACTTGAAGAGGAGGAATCTGTTGTTCATAAATTATTTTTGCTCTGGATGATCTTATTGTTTCCCTCTGCTACTCCATTCTGCCTGCTCTGGTGGGACCAGGGGGCTGCTTGGGAGGCACATGCTGCAAGGGCCTCCCCTGTTCCTTCTGGGGATGTTTCATAAAATGTCCTGGGTTGAAGGGACCTTGAAGCACATCTTGTTCCACCCCCTTCCATAGGCAGGGACTCCTTCCACTAGACCAGGTTGCTCCAAGCCCCATCCAGCCTGGCTTTGGACACTTCCAGGGATGCAGGGGCAGCCACAGCTTCTTTGGGCACCCTGTGCCAGGGCCTCAGCACCCTCACACAGGGGAGAATCTCTTCTGAATATCCAACCTAAATGTACTCTTTGTCAGTGGGAAGCCATTACCCCTTGTCCTGTGACTCCAGGCTCTTATAAACAGTCCATCCTTATCTTTCCTGTAGCTCCCTTCAGGCACTGGAAGGCCACAATTAGGTCACCCCAAAGCCTTATCCAGGCTTAACAATCCCAGCTCCTGAAGCAGAACCAGAGCCTTTCCTTTATCCCCCTGCAGCCGAGCCCCATCCCTGCCCTGAGCAGATGGGCTGCAGCCCCACCATCCTCCCGCTGCCCCCCGTCCCTGTCGCACTGACCGTGGCTCTCTCGGGTGCCCGCAGGACCACAACGAGTACAACTCGTCCATGGCGCGCAGCCAGACGAACACGGCGCGGCTGGAGGGGCTGCGGCCCGGCATGGTGTACGTGGTGCAGGTGCGTGCCCGCACCGTGGCCGGCTACGGCAAGTACAGCGGCAAGATGTGCTTCCAGACCCTCACGGACGGTGAGTCCCGCCGGGCCTCGTGCTCTCGCTGGGTTAAAGGAGCTCGTCTGCGCAAACCTCGGTCCCGGTGGGCAGCGTGGCGGGGGCCGGGGGATTTACGGCCGTGTCTCGTTAGCCGCCGGCGGGAGGAGTGATCCACCCTCCATCTCCCAGCGCCGGGTTTCCCCCCGCTGTTTATTTCTGTCTCTGCTGCCTTGAGCTGTGGGGGCAGAGGCCCTGGCAGCAGCTGTGGGTCTGGCACAGTGTGATGGGGTGGGAGGAGGGTTGTAGACCCTTGGAGGAAGGACTCTGGGATGCTTTCCTGGGATAGTTGGAGTCCGTCTGAGCCGTCAGGGCAAAGCCGGGATGGTCAGACCCATCTGAAAGCTGATTTCCCATGCCAAAGGGGTGTGTTGGGCCAGCTCCTCTCCTTTGTGACTTCTTCTGGCCCCAGCCCTTCCCTGCACTCACAAACACTGGCTTCCTTTAGAAACTGCTAATTCATGGGAGTGTTTTCCATTAATCCCAGCTTCAGCACTTATCCAGAAGTTGGTGAGTGAAGCAGGTCCTCCTACCCCTGGGGCAGCTGAGAGTCCATTCCCTGTTGCTGCTGGTGTGGTTCCTTCTTTGCTTAGGTGACATCCATGGCTCCCAGCCTCACTGCCTGTCTTTCCTAAAGCTTTTCTTCTTTCCAAAAGCTTTTCTTCTTCCCTAAAATGGGTCACCCCTTGCTTGCATTCATGTCAAGTGCCAGCTGGGGTGGGAAGAGGAAAGCCATGCTGGGTGACCAAAGGGAAGGAAATGGTAATAAACCCCCCTCCAATGCCTCAAATATTCAGGATTAGAGAAGCGAGAAGAAAAATCCTGCCTCAAATAAGCAATTAATTGAAATTTAATAAGAATGGATTGTGTAGCTTATTAAATAATAATTGATTGTTAGATGAGAATTTCTCAGGATTTAAGCAGCATGCAAGAGATAAATCTAGTTGCCAGTAATTAACTGCAGAGTAGAAAATACAGATAAAAGGGTGCTAAATGCTTTTTTTGGATGAGTTTTATTTTAACCCTTGCATGTGGTTGCTGGCACAGCCTGGCAGATTTTGATGGGGCAATTGGAGAGAGGGGTATTTTTGGAATGCTACAGAAGCCTCAGGAATGTGGGATCTGCTGGATATACTGCCTGTTGAGAGTACCCACACCACTGATGGGGCACAGAAAAATGGGGAGACACATGGAGGGTGCCAGTAGCTTTTTGGGGGTCCTCCCAGTGCCACCTTGGCTTTCACCCCAGCCTGCTGCTGAAGGATATGGGGGGTGCTGAGCAGACAAAGGAGGTTCTGAGGGATGCTTGGTGGGAAGGGATGCTGTGGGTGCCATGGCTCTGCAAAAGGACTTGTCTCATGTTGAGATATTAAAACCTACGAGCAGACCTGTGGCAAGGGTTCCCAGGTTCTCCAGAGCCTCACTCCCAAAGTTCACCGTTGTGTGGTGGACTCTGATGTCTGATCTGAGTGAAGTCTTGGCCCAGCATTCTCTGGCTGGCTTGGTTATTAATGGTATTTTCCTCCTTTCCTACAACTTGTAGGAATTTTGTGTCTGTGAGACCCCATGTTAAAATTGGTCAAACTGGCCAACAGGTTGCAGTCATAGAGTCTCAAGAAGGTTTGGGTTGGAAGGGACCCTAAAGCTCATCTCGTTCCAACCCCCTGCCATGTGCAGAGAACTGGTAGATCTTCTGGTAGATCAGGTTGCTCAATAAATTGATTTATTTAAGTGCCAAAGCTATGGACAAAGCCACGTCATTTCCTTTCCCCTGTCTTTAAGCCAAAGGTGTGTGAGCCAAGCATGACAATCCGTACCCAGTGCAACAGGGGTTGCACTCAGCTGAACCCCCTGCCTGGATCCCCCTTGTCCCATCACCTTGGGAACAGCACCCATGGAGTCAGAGGGGATCCCTTCCCAAAGGCTGCTCTCACTCCATGAGCACGCCAGGGAGGATTGACCCCATCCCTCTTCTCTCACAGACGATTACAAGTCAGAGCTGAGAGAGCAGCTGCCTTTGATTGCGGGGTCCGCGGCGGCCGGGGTGGTCTTCATCGTCTCCCTGGTGGCCATTTCCATCGTCTGCAGCAGGTGGGTCCCTGTGGGATCAATGTCCCTGGAAAGTGGAGGTGCTAAGGTGCAGATTAGGGGTGGGAGGGGTGGGATGGGGGACCCATGAGGCCAGAGGGAGCAGCACGATGCCGCTGCTCATGGAGTGTTGCTGGCAGGGGAGCGGGTTGGGGCCACCAGCAGCTGCAGATCCCTGAAGCCTGGCTGTTCTCTCCCCTGTTCTCCCAGGAAGCGCGCCTACAGCAAGGAGGCAGTGTACAGTGATAAACTCCAGCACTACAGCACCGGCAGAGGTGAGCAGGACAAGGGGGAAAAGCAGACAGGGGAGACGCTCCCAAACCTGCACCCAGCATGTGCCCCACTCCTCCCCTTCCATCCATGGTGGATGGACAGGACATGGGGTGGGATTGGAGAGGTCCACACGTGTCTGTCAGGGTGTGGGGGAGGGCGAGCTGCAGTGGTCCAGCACTGTGGGTGGGAAGAGTACCAGGAGGGATTTGGGGAATGATGATGGATTTGGGGGTATGTCAGGGGCAGGGGGCATGTAGGGGACAAGGGATGGGGAGAGGATGCTGTGAAGACTCCCAAAGGAGGAAAGAAGGGAGAGAGGTGGAGGGAGGATGAGCCTCTGATCTCCTGTCAGGCTCTGCCTGGGTCTGGATCAATGCTGAGCTCTTAGAGGGATTCTGGATTTTGGGAGCATGGCTGGGGTGTGGGTGCTGATGGCTGGCACTGCTGCTGTCCTGGCTGTGTGGCTGATGCTTGCCCTGTACTTTGCTCTGGGAAGGATGTGCAGCCAGTGACTGGGAATTTTTAACTGGTTTTGGGCTGCTGATCCCCTTGGCAAACAACTAGGACAGCCTGAGCTTTTCCTAGGAGACCTCTGCAGCTGGTGGAGCTGTGCACCAGAATTAGTTCCAGGTGTATTTGTGTGTAATGTCTGCTCTGGTGCCCCACCAGCAGCCAGCACTGCAAATGAAAATAAAGCAGCAGCTTTGGGGGCCAGGATTTTCGGTGTCCACCAGTTACATGCAGGATGTAAATCCCATTTGCACTCTCCTGAAGATGCTGCCCAGGTGCAATTTGCTTGTGTTAAGAACTATCTTGATCCTGGGTGCTTCATTGGGGAAAAGAGGTGTGGGATGCAGGGATGGAGGAAGGATGGGTGGGGAAGGCAGGGAGCAGAGGGGAGAAATGGGGATGGAGCAATCTCGGCCTGGCAGAGAAAAACTGGGGGGGCTGGAGAGGGCTAAGGAGGGATTGGAGATAAGCAGGAGAGCCCAGCCAAGAGAGCAGAGGACACTGGATCTCTTTAGACCTTCTTGGCATCACACTGAACCCTCCCAATGTTGTGGCAGCACTGTGGGGAGCCCTGAACCTCCTGGCAAACAATAAACTGTTATCCAAACATCACCGGGTGATGACAGACCTGTGCTTTTCCTCCCTCTTTTCTCCACATTTCTGCACTGTGGGGGGCAGGGCAAGATTACTTTGATGCCTGATGGATAAGATCACATCAGGCAGACTGGTTTTTCGTATTTTCCCCTTGTTTTGAAGCATTCCCTACTACACATGCATCCCTAGCTGGCCCCAAGAGCCATAAAATCCAGGATGCTCAACTGAGGTAGGGAAGCGATGAAGCATGTGCCTGTCTTGGGTTTCTAAACCCGGGGGGCTGTGAGGACTGGTGTCAGAAATCTGGGGTGCCAGCAATACCCTGTCAAGGTTAGTGAGCCTCCGGGCGCTCCCTCAGTGCAGAGGCTGGAGCAAAACAGGTGGGAAATTTGTGGTGAGCAACTAATGGAGTAATGAGAGCATCCTCTGGAACAAATCACCGTGTGTTCAGTGGCACAGCAATTACAGCCTCCCAGCACAGCTCTGCCATCCCTCCAGCAGCCCCTGGGAACACCTGCTGGTGGCAGAATGATCCAAGCGGATTTTGGGATGAGATGGGGGTCTCTCGGGGTGTAATTTTTTGTGGTTTATCCCTTCCATTGCTTCACTGGCAGCTGTGAGATTGGGGAAATAGGAAAAATGCCCTGTTGAAGCACCAACAATTCAGCAGGAAGGGGTTTTCTCTGTCCCCATGATATTTATTGCCAAGGAAACATGATGCCAGAAGGAACTGGCCACTGGAGTCTGGGTCGTGGTGCAGAGTGCTTCAACTTTAGAAGAGTGATAAAACATTTGCCCTTTTTTGCAGTAGTGAAAACTGGCCTAATCCAGTTTTCAGGATTCTTGGGATGATTTTAAGAGCACAAAGCTCTTTGCAGGCAGGCTCACTACGGGTACCTTTGGTGGTGCACTCCAGTACCTGGAATTTCACCCAGCTTCTGCTGGTGTGGGAATGATGAGCCAGGGACTGATGTTGGCAGGGATGAGGAGTGGGTTTAGGTGCCAAATCCCTCATTTGGATGGGATGAGCATGAGAGGGGCTCATCCTGGTGATTACTGAGCCTATGGATAGACCCTGGGGCACATCAGAGGATGTTTGAAAACCAGCCTGTGTTGACAGGGGACAGGGAACTTGGGCATTGTTTTCTCCTCTATTTTTTCAATATTTTGATCAGGGAGCTAGTCTCCGTTACGATCCTGTAAATCCCTTTGTAATCCTGGCTGGAGCATCAGCTGCTCTTGTAAAAGAATTTATGGGGCAGTTAAAGTGTATGAGACAGAGCCATAAAGGGATTTATGAACTGGGAGATGCACAGATGGCTTCATTGCAACCTCCCCTGACTCCGAGGTGCAGAACTTCTGCCCCAAAGGCCCCTTTTGGAGGTGAGGATTCTCCTGCCTGGTCCTTCCTGAGTCCTCGATGCCCCACAAGCAGCTCTCCCCTGGTGGCTGTTTGTCACCAGCAGTACCCCCTGTGAGGCTTTCATGCCTCCTCCTGAGTTGTTTTGCAGCTGGGAGCTGATTTAGATTCCTGGTGCAGAGGTGATGCTGTGGTCCATGCATCCATCTGTATCTGGCTCTGGAGGGACTGTGGGAAGCACCGGTGTGATGGGATCATGGCCTTGGAAAGGTTCTGAACAGTGTAACTGAGGGCTGTTAATCCCTGTGAGGGTGAAGTGCCTTGGGGAGGGGGCCAGGCAGCGATGTCCTTCCTGGTCTCCTCCAGAGATGACCTTGAGGGGCTGCTGTGCCATCCACAGTCCACTTTTTGGGTGAGAAATGGCATGGGAAGCTGACCCCTGGCCCAGGGGGACACCACAGCCCGTTGTAGGTCCCTTTTGAGTGGCGGTGCAGCACTGGGGTCAGGCTGAGCCCCGTGACCTCACTGTGCCTCGCCTCCGTGCCCCTCGGCAACTCCGTAAGCCCCTGACATGTGATATCTGCAAGCCCATTCGGGAAATCTGGGGACCTGTTTTCGTTTTTTCCCCCTTTGAAAAGGGCAAGAGCCCACTCTCTGTGTGTCCCTGCAGCCTGGGCGCGTCCTGCTTCCACGCATTGCCTCGGGCGAGAGGCCACACGTGTGTCCCGGCGTCCAGCCAAGGCGGATTTCACAGATCCATACAGGCTGTTGGTTATAATTGCTGCACTCTGTCAATTTAGTAGTCGCCACAAAGCCATCAAAAGCCTTTTTGGGTAAATAAATATTTCTTCACTAACGTGTGGAGCCTCATAAAGCCTTCACTGTAAAGCCAGCGTGCTGTACTCCAGGTCTGTAACTGCTCCCTTTGCCATGGAGGAGGAAGAGGAAGGATCATGGTACAGGAGAGGAGAGCAGAGAGGGAGAGGAGGAGGTATAAGGGAGAATGGGGTGAATTGGTGGCCCGGAGAGGATGATAAGGGTCTGTGGAGGTGGTATGGGTGAGCACAGCGATAGCAGCCACTTAATGGAAAGTGTGAGCACAGAAGGGTCTCCAGTTGTTGGCCATGGTACAACTGCTCTTGGTTTTCCAGGCTGCACAGAGACTGTGGGGATCCCCTGTACCTGGCATTGTTCAAGGCCAGGTTGGATGGGGCTTGGAGCAAACTGGTTTAGTGGAAGGTGTCCCTGCTCATGGGGGATGGTATGGAATAAACTTTGAGCTCCTTCCAACCCAAACAATCGTATTAACTCTGTTTCTGTAATTCTCTCCCTTTTGCCGTTCCTGTCTTCCCTGTAACAAGGGTCTCCAGGGATGAAGATCTACATCGACCCCTTCACCTACGAGGACCCCAACGAAGCCGTCCGAGAGTTCGCCAAGGAGATCGATGTGTCCTTTGTGAAGATTGAGGAGGTCATTGGGGCAGGTGGGTCTCTCTGTGTCCTGCTGCCCACCCTTCCCTGCCCTCTCTGCTGCTCCTCTGTGGCTGTCCACCCACCTGGAGCAACTTTGTGGGGGAGCACACACGGTCCTTCACCTGGAAGCCCTCAAAGAAGCCTTGAAACATCAGGTTTTCCTGTGTTTGTGATGGGTTAGGGTGGACATGAGGTTTTTTAATGCTCTCAAAGTTCCTCTGAGGTGGGAAAGGCCCCAGGAATGTATTCACTGGCTGACCATGGGGCCTCTTGGGATTTTCCATGTGGCTTTTGCAGGAGATAACAAGAAAAGCCGGATCTCACTGTAGTCTGTGCCATATTCCCCTACATATGTATATATACACGCATGTGTGTGTGTGTGTGATCTGTGCTGTTTTATTGCCATTTTTAAATAACTGTGTCATACTCTTAGAGAAGAAAGTGAGAAGCTGGGGAGGGGAAGCTGTGAGGAAGCAATTAGTCAGTTTGTTTGGGATCAAGTTCAGCAATGTATCACCTGCCCTTTGCTGCTCAGCAAGGCAAAGTGACTGCAAACATGGCTTAAATGTAATCCTTCCACAGGCAAATTTTGCTTTGCTGAAGTGAAAGCTCTACCGCTTTCTCTGTATTTTAAATCAGAGGGCAGCAACGTAAACAGCCCAATTATTTCCCACCCCAGGATAAGTGATGTGCAGAAAGGCAGCCAAGATTAACAACACAGACACTTGATATTTGAGGTACTCCTTAAATGTGGATGCACTTTCCCTGCAAATCCTCCTTGTGGGGGTTTGCACATGTGGCTGCAGCCTCTGCCTGTGTCGATGTTGGGCTCTGTCACCTTGGAGAAGGTTGCAAACCTAAACATGTCCCCAGCAGCAGACACTGGCCCTTTTAAAGAGGACAGGTGGGCAGATTTGTAGAGGAAAGCGTTGTTGAAGTGTGAATTGGCTGCCATTTCTCAGCTGGGCAAGGACCCCTTGCTCTGTGCAATGTTTAGTGTGGAGGAGGAGGAGGTAGCTCTGGTGTTGATTGATCAAAGGTTGGACTCCGTGATCTCAGGAGTCTTTTCCAACCTAAATGATTCCATCTTGCACACTCAGGGGAGTTTGGAGAGGTGTATAAAGGGCGCCTGAAGTTGCCAGGCAAGCGGGAGATCTACGTGGCCATCAAGACTCTCAAGGCTGGGTACTCGGAGAAGCAGCGCCGGGATTTCCTGAGCGAGGCCAGCATCATGGGGCAGTTTGACCACCCCAACATCATCCGCCTCGAAGGGGTGGTCACCAAGAGCCGACCGGTCATGATCATCACAGAGTTCATGGAGAACGGGGCCTTGGACTCCTTCCTGCGGGTGAGGCGAGGCCGCGTGGGCTGTGGGATTTGGGATGTGATGTTGGTGTCCCGTTTGTAAACCCCAGCCTGTTTGCTTAGTCTGGGAGCTGGCTGGAGCGTGCCACACATCCAAAATGTGTGTTTTGGGGTGCTTACCTTTGCTGTAATCAGGCAGGGCAGCTGGAGTCCTCTGGGGAGGCGCAGCACCCTCCTGAGGTCAGGGTGAGTGGCCCTGGTCCCACTGTGCTCACCCCAGTGCCTGCTCTTTCTGCTTGCAGCAAAACGATGGGCAGTTCACAGTGATCCAGCTGGTGGGAATGCTCAGAGGCATTGCTGCTGGGATGAAGTACCTGGCAGAGATGAATTACGTGCACAGAGATCTGGCTGCCAGGAACATCCTGGTCAACAGCAACCTGGTATGCAAAGTATCCGACTTTGGCCTCTCGCGCTACCTGCAGGACGATACGTCTGACCCCACCTACACCAGCTCCTTGGTAGGTACCTCCCACAGGATGTTCTCCTGCCCAGAGTTCCCTGTGCCCTGCACCTGCTGAGCCTGGGAGAAGGGTTCTGGATGTACAGTCTGGCATGGGTGGGAGCACCTCATGAGTGTTCCCACCACATACGTTCATGGTCCAGAGGTCCTGGCTGTGGTTTCCACAAATTATTCTCTTTCCCCTCCTTTTTCTTCCTCCTTTTTAGAAGTTTTCCACCTCCCTCCTCCCTAAGCACCTTTCTGCCTTCTGCAGTTTCCAGATAAGCCCCTTCCCTTTCCTCTGGGGAGGAAAGGTGAACAGAGGAGTCCCTGGAGAGACAGGAAGGGGAGGCAGGGAGATCACAGCAACTCCTGGCAGCACAGTGATGGTGTTTTGCCTCCCCTTCCCCCAGCACTCCAGGTCTGGTCTGCTTTTCCCTGCTGGAAACTTGTTCCAAGCATAAATTAAAGAACAAGCCTAATGGGGGCTCTGCCATTCCCCAGCCATCCTTCTCCTCCTTAATTAACTCATTTGTAGGTAACAGCAGCTCTCTTCTCCCCCTGCTCCTGGCTACCCCAGGGGACCCCCAGCTCCCCACCATGGCCACTGTCCTGCTTGTGAGCCCCTGAGAGGTGTTAAGGATGATCAGAGGGGAAAGGGATGAGCAACTCACTGACCTTATCTAATGGATTAAACAGAAGAGTGTACGGTGGGTGCCGGCACGAGGCTGCACCAGCTCCTGCCAAAGCAGTTCCTTGGGCTGCTGAGCTGTGCCCAGGTGCCAGGGCTGGCTCCAGCTGCCAAAATGGGAAAGCCAGGGACATGCCTTTAAGGCTGACTCAATGTTTTGGCCCAGTTGCAGCCCCTCACTGTCCCCCTGCTGCTCAGTGGGATGTTCCTGTTCCCCCCAGACCTGCCCCTCTCCCTGCCCAGACCCTTCCTGCAGGCAGCAGCCTTTAAGCAGACACTCAGCTTTTATTTTTCCTTCAAAGACCCCAGTGGTAGCTGCTGAGATGAGGCATGAATTAGTCTTTTCCCCACCTTCAAAGATAAAAAGAGATTATCTCATCTGTGTTTTTATTTAATTTAGTCCATAATAGATCTCCCCGGCAGCTGGGAAGTGATGCTGTGCCTGCGATTGCATCACTCTGCCTCCCACAGCAGGCTTTTCGCTCTGGGGAAAAGGCAGGAAAAACAACCTAGCAGTTAATTTCTCCATTTGTAGTTATTCAAATCAAATTTTTTGCCATTCATCCTTCAAGAGCGGCTGACGCGTCCTCGGAAAGGCTACGGAAGATGATTGTGCTAAACGATTTACAATGCAGTCCTGCCCCCAGACAATTCCTGTGCGCGTCTGTGGTTTTCCTTTTCCCTTGGCTTTTTTTGTGGTTATTTTATGGAGCTTCCCCAGGGAGCAGTCCCTCTGTGCATGCTGCCCCTCCTCACATCCCTGCGCCCTTGGCATGGCCTTTGCCCCTGGGACCTGCCCTGGCTTGGCGGGGTGGCTTGAGATGCTGACCCTGATTTTGAGCCTCTGGGAGAAATGAGGAGCTCTCTGCCGAGGGCACTTTCCTACACTAGTGCTTTCCATTGGGTTTTAAAGGTGTTTTGCTTTTTGCCTTCCACTCCAAATGTAGGGCTGAAAGGACCTGGCAGCTGTGGGAGCCCAGATGAATCTGTACAGGATGCTTTTAATTCAACCTTGTTTCCATTGAAGGCCAAGGGATGGGGATGCCTGTGGCTCCTCACCTGTGAAAAGCACTAGCCCAGTCGTGCTTAGCCTTGTCACCTGGTGACTCCCTGGGAAGGGATCTGGGGACAGGCCACTGATGTGCTGGGTCCTTCAGGCAGCTGGAGTGGCATGGTGTCAGTCAGTGGGGTAAATCCTTGGATAAACCCATTTGTTTTGTTCAGCTAAGCCATTTTAAGGAGGTGCAAGATACAGTCATGCAAGATTCAGTACATGTTTTTGGCTCCTGCCTCCTTGTCCCATCAGGTGGGGTCCACGGGGACCCATGGTTTGGGGTGTGTGGGATGGCCCCAACCCTGGCTTGTGGGCATCCAGCCTCCTCTGCCTAGGGAGATGTTTCTCAGCTGAAATCCTTTCTTCTGTAGGGGGGAAAGATCCCTGTCAGGTGGACGGCACCGGAGGCCATCGCCTACCGCAAATTCACCTCGGCCAGTGACGTCTGGAGCTACGGCATCGTCATGTGGGAGGTGATGTCGTTCGGGGAGAGGCCCTACTGGGACATGTCCAACCAAGATGTAAGCACTGGGGGTCATCCACACTGCTCTGGGACCCAGGGGATGCTCATTCCCAAAAGAAATCACTGTCTGAAGGGCCCTCTGCTCCTTCCTGGAGCCTCAGGAGCGCTCGGTTTGGAGATGAAACAGGCTGGTGAGCGAGAGGATGCAAGGAGGGAAATTGGGAAGAAAAGCCAGTGGGCTGGTAATTGGACTTCAGCAAGCTGCAGGGCCTTTGAAAATGTTCAGAGGGTTTACAAGCAGGGAAGGAGCTTTGGAAGTGTGACTGCTGTACTCCGGCGAGCTCCGCCGAGATAATGAGTGGCAGCTCTCCGCTGGGAGGAACTGCAGCCGCGGAGCATCAGAGTGGAGATTAACCTCGGAGAGCACCGGCTCCTCCCGCTCCCTTGGCTGCTGATCAGCCGGGCTGGCCGTGCCTTCCTGGCTGCCTGCAGCCCCTCTGCCTGCACAAGCAGCTCAGGGAGCCCCCCGAGTCCCTCACTCATCCGTCCTCATCCATCCTCAGGTCATCAACGCCATCGAGCAGGACTACCGGCTCCCGCCGCCCATGGACTGCCCGGCCGCCCTGCACCAGCTGATGCTGGACTGCTGGCAGAAGGACCGCAACACCCGCCCGCGCTTCACCGAGATCGTCAACACCCTCGACAAAATGATCCGCAACCCGGCAAGCCTCAAAACTGTGGCGACCATCACCGCTGTGTGAGTGCCGGGCGCAGGGACGCTCCCTGTCACCATCCCATGCCGTGGGGAAAGGCTCCCCCAGCGGCTCCAGAGTTCATAAATCCTTAGGCGGGGGCAGGGGGTTCTGTCTTTGCTCTGCCTGACAGTCAGACAAAGAACATGCTGTTTTCAGCCAAGCAACAGCAATAATTCTTTGCTATTGATTCTTTATGGTGTGTGACCGTTTGGGTGTGGTGGCTGCTCTGCCGACGCTGCAGCTGGAATACAGCGTGTGAGCTTGCAAAGCCCTGCTCAGCAGCATTCCCATGGGACAGGCCTTCCTCATGGCCTTTAATGTGTGTGTGCTGGGGGGAGCACAGGGGTGTGGGGGTTGGATTGGGAAGCGTGTCCCTGTGCTGGCTGGGCTCAGGCAGGGCAGCCCCTCGGTGCCAGCTGTCCTTGTCCCCAGCGGTGTGTCCTGTTTCAGGCCTTCTCAGCCCCTCCTCGACCGCTCCATCCCCGACTTCACTGCCTTTACCTCAGTAGACGACTGGCTGAGTGCTGTGAAGATGAGCCAGTACCGGGACAGCTTCCTGACCGCTGGCTTCACCTCCCTGCAGCTGGTGGCCCAGATGACGTCTGAGTGAGTTGGCCATGCCAGGGCTGCCCAAAAGCGGGGTGCTGCCCAGTTGGGGCAGTGGGGAGGTCAGTTCAGGGCAAAGGACAGGTGTGAGCATCCCTCACATTGGTCACCCAGAGTCTGGAGGTGGCCACATTCACTATTTGGGAGTCAATGTGTGGGTGTCTTCCTGCTTCCAGACCTGGTGATGCTCATGGGGCCGTGCTTGGGTTCTCTGTGGATGTTTCAGCTGAGCTTACCTCCCTCACCTCCCTTAGCAACAGCAAAGCAGGTTCTCCACCCTCAGCTGCCCACTAACCATGTTGTCTGTCCTTCTGTCTTCCAGAGACCTCCTGAGAATAGGGGTGACTTTGGCTGGGCACCAGAAGAAGATCCTGAACAGCGTCCAGTCCATGCGAGTACAGATGAGCCAGTCTCCGACCTCGATGGCATGACGTCCCTTGTTCCATGGGGAGGGGCCGGGGAGGGCGCACAGCGGAGGGCAGAGGTGGGAGGGGAGGAACTGATGCGGGGCAGCACCGGGAGAGGAGCCGCCGCTGCCTGGGGACTGCGACTGCAGCCAAAGGATGTTCCTGGGACTCACCTCTGACTGGTGACTTCAGTTCCCCACCAACAGAAGCACACTTACCAATGTCATGGGGGACAGCGTATAAATACATATAAATATGTACAAATCATATATTTAAAAAGCAAAGCAAAACAAAAAAATCATAAAAGACAATGAAGACAAACCAATGTGTGTTGGGGAAGCAAACCCAAACCCTAGAGACCAGACTCCAATCCTGCCACCAGTGAGCAGTGGTCGAAACTGAGAAGGAGGAAGGAGCTGTTGGGGAAGGGAGAGGCATGAGATGGAGCATCCTGTCCGGAGAAACCACCTTCCTTTTTCTTCTTTTGCCCTTCCTCTCTGTCCCGGCCCTCCTGGCTCACCCCGCTCCCCTCTCTGCTCACGGACTGGGTGGAAGTGTCCTCAGATGTCTCCGCAGCTCCCTGTCATCCCACCTGGGTGCTGCTCCGGCAACTACCAAAGGACTTCGCTGACCACTGCATGGGGGATCCGACTCAATCCAGTTAATGTCTTCATATTGAAGAAGAGATGTACCTTCAATAGAAAACCTTGGGTTTTGGTTTTTTTTTCTCTTTTGCTTGCATTTTTTTGCAAAAAGGAAAAAAAAGGATTAAAAAAAAAAACCAACAAACTCTCCATCTTGGAAAATGGAAAGAGGTGTTCCCGTGTGTGTGTGCGCGCTCGTGCGCCTGTGTATGTTGTCAACCCTCCGTGGACTCACTGCTTGTCCATGACCGAAGACCAGCGCTGACCCTGCAGCTAGCGGCCGGCCGGTCCCCAGCCCGGGGGGCCAGGGGTTGTGCCCACAGCCCCCAGGGGCGGGAGGCAGCCAGGAAGCCCCCGGCGATGAAGGAAGCTCTCAGCATTCTGCACGTGGGGAGGAGGATGCCAAGGGCCGGCTGGCGCGGCGGGGATGGGACAGGACTGGAGGAGCCACCGCGTGGCTGTGACTGGGTTGGTGGCTGCTGGAGGAAGAGAGATGCTCTGGGAAATGGACTGGTCATGCCTCCAGGGCCTCGGTGATGTCTGGAAGATGGCTATGGAGGACTTTTTCCCCCATCTTGTGGACCTAAGGATTTTGATATTGATTTATGGACTTAGGTTTCTTGGCTTCAGAGGTAGGTCCGAGTGTCTCACATGTCTGTCCATCCATCCGTCCTGCTCTGTATTTTTCTGCTCTCCTTTATAGCCTCTCCCAGTGGATGTTTCCCCTTATTTAATTTGATCTTTATTCTTTGTTTTTTGTTCCTCCATTGGTCTCCTAGGCAAATTGATCTGGTTAAAATTGCCCAACACGTGTCAGTGTTTACCCAGAATATTGTAAGGCTGGGCCATCTGACGTCCCCCTGTGGATCAGGAGTTTATAAAACGAATGAACTCTTAATAAGGCTTTTACTTAGAGGGCTGTGTGCGAGTTGCAATGATCCATCACCGCGCTCTCGCCGGCGCTGTGCCGGCACCCGTGTGCCGGGGGAGCAGCGGCACGGGCTGGCTGTGGCTGTGCCTCAGGGGCTGCAGGTCCCAACAGGGGTTTGGTGGTTCACACATACACAGAGATCCCCCGTTCTCCTCACTCCTCTGTCTCCCTCACTCCATCCCCACTGTGGAAATACTCCACCTCTGCGAGTGCCATGGGGATGTCCTGCATCCAGCCGTGTCCTGGGGGTGTTCCTGAGCCACAGGGGTGCCCCGTGTCCTGCTGTGTTATTGGGGCTGTCTGTACCGCAGTGATGTCCTGTGTCCATCAGTGCTGTGAGCAGGGCTCACACGCTCCTGGGCTGTGGTTTTTCCCCATGTCTGTCCTTGCCATGGGGCTGCCCACATCCAACTACACCATGGGATTGCTCCATGTCCATCTGCCCCGTTGTATTCCCATCTGTGCCTAGAGATGCCTCACCAGATTTGCTTGCTGCCACTGAACACAAGGAGACAAACCTGTGCTCTGCCTGCTGCCAGCACCTGTCCACATCTCCTGATTGGAAACACTGTTCCTCCTGTGTTGGGGCTGTCAGGGTCCTCTGTGGCTGGGTGGACCCCCCAAGTATCCCATGAGGAGCACATGCTCAGTTCATGGTGGTTCATGAGGAACACGTTCATGCTCGTGGTTCATCACCACCAGCGGGTGAAGGACCCTTTGGGGTGCTCTTTACACCTCCAGGTTTTTTTTTCTCCGTTGCCCAAGGCAGATGACCTGTGCTCTGCTGAAGAACGGGAACTAACAAGATGCAGGAATGAGCTTGTTTCAATTCACTGAACTCCCCCCAGAGAAAGAGGCAGAGAAAAACACCCCTTGTTTACAACAGCAGGGACTGCTCCTCTTCCTGTCTGATAGACGATTGCTAATACCTCTCGGGATGTTGGCGGCCCAAATCTGTATTCTGGGATGTTGTCACACAGAACACAACATGCAGATGGAGCAGGCGCCGCGCATGCTAATGCACCGCCCCACCACATTGGTATTCCCTGGCACTGAAGGGTCCTTTGTGGGGTTTTTTATTATTTCTCTTTTATTAGAAGGAAGCTAAAGGCATTTAAAGGAACGAGTGACAGCTACACAGGCTAAATATCAATACTGCACCTTTATGGCTCCCCTGCTGCTGTCGCTGGCTCTGTGAGCACCTGCGAGGCAGCTGCTGCTGCTGCTCGGTGCTGTCCCTGCCCCAGCACACCACAGCAACCCTGGTTTGATGGAAACCCTTTAATACAGAACCACAGCGTCATAGGGTGAGAATGGATCTCTGAGACCATCGAGTCCAACCTGTGACTGATCCCTACCTTATCGACCAGTCCAGAGAACTGAGTGCCATGTTCACCGTTCCATGAACACCTTGAAGGATGAGCATTCCACCACCTCCTTGAGCAGCCCATTCCAATGTTTGATCACTCCTGCAGTAAAGAAACTCTTCCTGGTGTCCAACTTGAACCTCCCCGGCACAGTTTGAGGCTATTTCATCCTGAATATGAAATGTGAACCTGCCCATCCCACCCAGCAGACCAGGTACCCCTGAGGGATCAAACAGGCTGTCTGGGTGCTCAGGCACTATCAGAGATACCAAAATCTTCTCGGTCCAGTTTTCCAGGGTGGATGATGCTCCTTGGCTCTGGGCTACCAGCAGTGCCCCTGGGCATTGCTGGGGCTGGTGGCCTTTCCATTCTGTTGCCCTTTCCCAGCTGTCCAACATCTGATGTCTCCTGAGCTGTCTCAGAGCAGATGATTCCCATATCCCACTGCTCCTAACCAGCTGTCCCCACATCTTGGCCTTGTGCTGGGATCTGGATGTGTCTCCTCCAGGGTCATGCAAGAGCCCAGCAGCACATTGGTGGTGCTTGGGGCTGAGCAAAGAGAGTGCACGTGTGCTCAAACAAATCCCTGCAGCGAAGAGGCATCATGGGCCAAGGGAGCTGCTCTCAAGGTGATACTTGAGGGAGAGTCACAACTGGCCACTTGTTCTCTTGCCTTTCAACAGAAGTCATTTCATCCAAACCAGAAGGTTTCATGAAATGCCATCAGTCTGTTAGTGGAAAGCAAAGGGGAAAGTCCAAAATGGGCATGTTTGGATTTTGCTTTTTATTGAAAAAAACAACATAAAAATTTCAGACCACTTCTGACAGACCATTTTGTTGTTTTAGAGGCCTTTCTTCCATGTAAAATCAGTTTTCCAAACTGTGAAGCCTTTCTGTCTGGAAGTGACAGTGCTATCCCTTCCTGGCCGTGGCAGCAGCAGCGTTGTGTGTGTTTCTCAGATGCCAAGGAAGAGGTTCTCACCTTGACTTGGGTGGCACCTCGTTGATGCTGCTCTGTTGCCCCTACTCTGGTGAGAGCCTCTTCCTTGGTCTAAAGATGAACACTCCAATTTCACATCTTCTGATCCACGCTGGTTTGCGTTGGATTTCCTTTCTTTGATCAGAGGAGAATGGATGGCTCAGAAGCAGTTTTCTTCCTGCAGAGTTTTAGTTTAAAGGGAAGAAAAAGGAGTTTTGGATCAAAGAGGACCAACTGCACAGGCCTTTCCTCTGGGCTGGGCTCTGTCCATCACACAGGGTCCTGATGGGTTCCTGTGCCATGTGGAAGTGCTGGAGGGGCCCATTGCTGGTGAACCCCACTGGGTTGGATCCTGACCCCTGCCACTGCTCATGAGTGAAGCTCAGTCAGAGTGTCTTGCTCCTTTGGTTGCATCCCACATGAATATCCATGCATGGATGTGGCTGTGTGCCCGGGTGAGCCCGCCTCACCCTCTCCCCTGATCCTGGCCTTTCACTTTGTGCTCTGCAGTCGTCAGCTTCTTCTCTCCATTTCTATGGCAACTGTAAAAACCTCAACCCTTTTGTGTCTTTTTTAGGGTTTTTTGTGTGTGTGTGTGTCTGGGTTGGCTTTGTCCTTTTTTCATAGAGCATTAAATCGAAAAAGGGACTTTTGGTTACCAAACCCCTGCTCTGAGCTTGGCCCAAGGTCTTGTGTGGGAATCAGTGAGCAAGATCCTCACAGCTGGACTGGGTGTTGCCAAGTGGCTTCACATTTCCAGCCCCACTCTTACTTCCCTCATCCCCCCAAAACCCCCATTTGCAATTCAGCTGCATCATTCTCCCCTGGGGCTTTTCCATGCTTTTTCCGCAGCCCCATCTCTGGGGGCAGGCTTCTCAACAGCAGTAATTAAAAGGAGATGTGGTGACTCTGCCAGGGAAGGTGAACCCAAGCCCCTTGCACATCCGAGGCTTGAATGTGGAAGAAGAGCATGTATTAATGGCATAATTATGTGCCTCTTTCCAGAAAAAAAGGAATGTATTTTATGCCATTTAATGACCTTCAAATTAACAGTTCTTTGAAAGCACTTATGTATATTTAATTTTAAATATTGCTCCAAGTCAGAGCAAGGCTTGCGATGAAAACAGCAGGCAGCTGGTTTTTAAATAAGAGAGATCTCAAGCCATTATTTCTGAGCCCGTTGGCTTTTGGTGCCTCTAATGCTCCTTTGCCAAGGAGAAAACAAGGCTATCCTTCCCCCTGTGTATCAGCCTGAATCCCATGGGATCTTCTCTTTTACTTTTTGCTTTTCCAGGTGTCTGATTCAGAGATAAGGCAGGGTTAGGGCTGGGCTGCAGAATCTCATCAATAAGTTTGCCTGCATCCCAAGGACATCTC